GTTAACTATAGTATTCTACATTTAGAGTTCCTTATTTGAGAATCATTGTTTCCATAACTCAGGCGCTCACTTATTGTCATTTTTTCAGTTGTTTTTTTTTTCTGCATCCTGCAGCAACATTCCGTTTCTAAAGGTTACTCTCATTGCAAGATGGTACATGGCATCCTGCTTCCACGAATCCAGCTGAAAAGCTGCATCATTTGTGTTGCTACTGGCACAACTCTTCATGTCGTCACAGAGATCGACCTCGACATGTTTACAAATGAAATTCATTAGGAAGGATGTCTTTAGAAGCTCTACCGTCGTGCATCGTTCATGTGTACTTAACTGTAGGATCAATCGTAGAATGAACATTTGGAACTTTTTTGTGATATCTGTCATCTTTTCCCAACACATTGATGTATGACAAGTTAGATAGTGTGAGGGTGTTTTGGGGCGAGTGACTAGTGCGTTGGCACAGATAGATCATTACGGTCTGAGGAGAATGGCGCTGCGAGGAGTTACCAGGGGATGTGGCTGACGCTTAAAACACTCAGGGGAAGGATAAGATGGATTTACAATCAGACGGTTACTGGTACAATCGGAATTGGAACTCTTCGCTTTCTACTGAAGATAGAGACTGAGCACTTATGGGAGTGTACCGAGTGTTATAATGTCGATATTTTAATTTAATGTTTGACATTCAACGTTCTGTTCAGCACGTCAGTTTTGGAATCATCTCTTGCAACTAAAGGTTACATATTTAAATAATAATACTCCTTCTTTAACATTTCACTGAAGAGAAAAGCTAAAAGCAAGCGAGCAAACTGTGTACATCAATATACACGGGTGGATAGTATCAAGAGACATAGTAACATCAGTACAAAAGAGTGTTAACCTTTGAGGTTTGAGATTTGAACAACGAATCAACATCATGGCACACGGGTTGTAACCCATTAGTGCTCAGTTCTTCTTCTAACTTAAGTCTGAGTCCGAATGCACCGGCTCTGTAGCACCGGTGAGGATCCTGAAATACTTTGGGTAGATTTTTAACTCCAAGTTTTACCCGGGAAGCGCTGTTAGGCTACTCTTTTCGATTTCCAACTGCCAATTTTTTTTTAAGTGCGCAATAATACAAACGGGCGTCCAATCTCACTACCCAGAGACCAGTAGAATTATTATAAATCTAAGTCCACGTGAAAAAATCACAACTCTTACATGGAATTAAATCATGAACCTCTAGCACTCGAGAAAGACACCATGGCTCGAGGCCACGCAGCCCCCCAGTGTTAACCTTAAAAGAGAGACAAGTCATGGCGGATTCCACTGTAGAGAAGAAATGAACGAACAAACAAATTTTTGTTTGTGGACAGATAGGCGTTCAGGCAGATAGACAGCTTAGAAGGTAAGCATGTCAATAAGTTATCAGTTAAGAATCGACACTCAGTATATTCACATAAGTCCACAATCTCAGCAGCAATCCCAGCCCTCCCGGTCGTCAGCCTAGCACAGGTGTTAATCCTGAAGTTCAAAGGGTCCATAATTTGGGTCATATATTTATTTTTCAAGTTGGTTGATTATTTTTTTTTTTTGCATCTGTCACCCCCAGAAATAAAATCTTGTTAATATATTTTTTTTTTCAATGATGACAGCACGCGTGCTTGGTTTTAGGGAAAGGTATAGGAAATCGATACTTTGTAGGCATTATTATCTTCATAACTGCAGGTAACAGGTGGCGTTATATAAATGGTGAGGTCAGGAACACTATTTAGGTGAGCAGCGGGGTCAGGGGACCCGGGGCGACTAGGAAGGCGGCATGATGACCGGGGATGTATTAGAAAGGGCAGATTGGGCGCCGGCAGCATCATCATCATCTACGTCATGGTAGCGAAGGTCGACCGCTCATGGATGGTTTGAGCTGTAGTAAAAAAGGATGACAGAATGCTGGGTGTCTGGTAATACTGTGGAGGGTCGAAGAGAAGGGGCATAATTGGCAGACTATCTGACTTTGTAAATAAGTGGGCGAAGGTTCTGATTGGTCAGTAGGCTTCAGTGGTTATTCTGCTGGAACAGTCGATTTAGGAAAAACTCGGCAGTTGGTGTCGCTCAACGGGGTACGCCCGCCCGGCCGTCGATACGCACGCACACACGCACGCCCGCGGGGGTCGTTTTAGGGGATAGATACAGAAACCTAGGAAAGTGGTTTGATGGTAGGGAGAAAGTGGGGCTGGGGCGCCATCATCATCATCATCCGCGTCGCCTTAAACTGTCCTTTTTCTTAGTAACGTTAAGCAGTTTAAGAATAGTTTTCAAATCGATAAAAGTAGCTGTTTGGAAACAGACACTATCATTATAAGTTATGGACCCGCGGTGGAGGCATCCCTTTACCTCTCTGATAGCCGGACCTACTGGTAGCGGTAAAACTGTATTTGTGCAGAAGTTTTTAAAACATTTGAACGCTATGGTCGACCCTGTGCCGGAGGAGATTATTTGGTGCTACGGGGAATGGCAACTTCTGTATGACAACATGGAGGGCGTCATCTTTATCGAAGGTCTTCCGGATATGGAACAATGGCAGGGAGATAGACGACGTCTAGTGGTCATAGACGATTTGATGTCTGAGACGGACGACAGAATCACTAAACTATTTACTAAAGGCAGTCATCATCGCAACATCAGCGTGATTTATATTGTACAAAATCTTTTTGGAAAAAATAAAGAACAAAGAACCATCAGTTTGAACGCGCATTACCTGGTAGTTTTTAAAAACCCTCGTGACGGTTCACAGATCACCAACTTGGCCAAACAGATGTATCCCGGCCGCGTTTCCTACGTTCAAGAAAGCTTTAAAGAGGCTACGGCTAAATCTTACGGTTATTTGCTTTTCGACCTCCGACAAGACACCCCAGACCAGCTTAGACTACGCAGCGAAATATTCCTCGACGAGAAACGAGTAGTGCACGTACCTAAATAATGTCTGACAAGCTAAAGTGACACGGCGAGATGCTGCGTTTTTTGTGTGCAGGGCGAAAGACCACACAGCAAAAAACACCTGAGCTCGTACAGACACTTTGTGAATGTTGTCACAATGTATTAAAAGGTAATGTCACCCTGATACCTGACCAGAAGAGACGTTTGTGTCGTTACAAAAACAACATCAGAGCGCTCACCAAAAAGAAACTTTTAATCAAAAAGCGAAAAAAGATTTTACAACACGGTGGGTTTCTCGGGGCGTTATTAGCGCTAATACAAAGTGTGGTAAAAGGTATCTTGGGTTCCTAACCAGGGCCATGAAAATGATATTGATAGACCCGCATGTGATGGACTCTGTGCTTCAAAAACAATATGCACCACATAATACAGCCAACGCTAGCCTACGTGATTTGGATACTCATATGCAACATGTCCTGGAAAATGAAGAGCTGTCGCCTCGT